CCTTTTCTGACCAGCAGGCATAAATTCAAGCATAACACTGTATACATACTAAATAAATAAATAAGTTTTGGCTCCCTGGTTCTGCCTTACTGAGGTGATGAGACAGACATAGTTTACATGCTAGGGGATGTTTTCCCCTCTCTAAAGAGCACATGGGAGTTGGGATGGTGGAAGGAAGAGGGAGTGGGAAGAGAGAGTGGGAGGAGAGTAGGGAGAGGGAACTGGGATTTGGAATGTAATAAATAAATTAAGAAATAGCCAAATATTTTCTGGGGGTTGGAAAAACGGCACAGAGTTTAAGAGCACTGGTTACTCTTCCAGAGAATTGAACTGGCTGAATTCTCAGCACTTACATGGCATCTCATAACTATCTCTTACTCCAGTACCAGGGAATCTGACACCTTCACATGGAGTATAAGCAGGCAAAACACCAATGCACATTTAATGAATATATAAATCTTTTGAAAAAAGATATTATCCTTCATTCAAAAATAAATCAGTGTACAGGGTTTCATTGAAAAAATATTGTGTTGATGGTGCACATCTTTATTTCTAGCACTTGGGATGCAGAGCCAGGCAGATCTCTAAATCCAAAGTCAGCCTGGTCTACAAAGTGAGCTCCAGGACAGGCTCTAAAAGTATACTGTGAAACCCTGTCTCTAGAGAACAAAGAGAGAGATAGAGATAAAGGGGGAGGGAGGGAAGGAGAGAGAGTGGCAGACCTCTGTCCTCATATTCTTCTTCCTCTATTCCTATTTTCTTAGGTTTGTTCTTTTTTTGGTTTGGTGTTTTTTGTCATGAGTGTTTCAGATTTACCATCTTCTTTCAGTGTGGTATCCATTTTTTGTTTGTTTTATTTTTTGATTGTGGATTTTCTGAAACAGGGATTATTTGTAGCTTTGGTGGCTGTCATGAAACTCACTTGATCTGTAGACCAGGCTGGTCACAAACTCACAGCAATCCTCCTGCCTCTGCCTGCCAACTGCTGGGATTAAAGGCATATATCACCACTGTCCAGAAGTTTGAGTGTCCTGTCATTTTATTATTTATTTATTTATTATATATACAGTGGTCTGCCTGTATGTGACCCTGAAGGCCACAAAAGTGCACCAGATATCATTACAGATGTTTGTGAGCCACCATGTAGTTGCTGGGAATTGAACTCAGGACCTGTGGAAGAGTAACCAGTGCTCATAACCTCTGAATAATCTATCCAGTCTCCAGTTTATGATATCTTTATAGATTTTGTTTCCTTTCATTGTCTGTGTTTCCCTGGAATTCAAGGGATTTATTCATTTTCCTTCTACTTCATTTATTTCCTGTATTCCTTCAAGGGATATATTGATTTCCTTTAAGGGTCTTTATCATCTTCATACAGGCATTGTTAAGGTCTTGTCTTTAGTTTTTTTTTCCTTAAGGTCTTTCCCTTAAGATTTTAAGCTCTGTTGGAATATGAGCTGCTATGATAGTGTATTTGGTGTCTAGTGTGAGCATATTTCTGTGACTGTTTTGGTTGTGTTTTTATACTGGGGTCTAGGCATCTGGGATTTTGATGATTATAGGTCCCAGTACTGCATCTTGGACTTTTCTTTATGGGTGGATATTTTCTTCCTTGGTTTCTGTTTACTCTCTGAATTTTAGGAAAGGATGATGACTGTGTGTTGCCTGGTAGAAAATTTTCTGTGGACCTGATAAGTATGTGATGGGGGATGGCCGTCTGTATATATATTTGTCTTATTGGTTGATGAATAAGATACTGTTTGGCCAATAGCCAATAGAGGCAGGGAGATAGGTAGCACTAGGACTCAAGGAGAATTCTGGGAAAGATAGGGAGAGGGAGCCTGCCATAATGAAACACCATGTAGACCACAAAGGAGCAACAGATCCCAGCATTCTCTGGTAAGCCACTAGAAATTACACTAGTTATTACACTAGAAATGCATAGATTCATAGAAAAGGGTTAACAATTAAGACAGAGCTAGCCAACAAGTAAACCCTAGCCATCAGTAAACAGTATAATAACTAATATAACATCCGTGTGTGTATTTGGGGCTGAAAGGACAGGGGGAACTGTCTGGAAAAGAAAACAACCAATAACAAGTGTGGACACTTAGTGTTCCAAATAAAACGTGTTTCTGGGTATTGGTAGCTGATACTTGGGAATATGGAATATCTGGATATCTGAAGGTATCTATAGGAAGAGGAGACCAGTGTGTTCATGCAGGATCTGTTTATATCTCCTTGGAATGGGAATAGATAGTAAAGAGAGAGCACACAAGATACTCTGCTACAATTCTGGGAATAAGACTGGTGGATTGTATGTAGAGGAACTGAAAACAGAGTTCTGTTCTCTTTTCTGTTCCACAAATAGTCCATGGTTTGCAAGGTATGCCTGCTGATATTGGAAGCTGGGATACTGGGATGAGTTGCTGTAAGTAAGGCTGGAGGAGATCTTTGTGATCTGTTAGGGATGTCTCTATTCTGCTATAGAGTTGGGGATGAGACTTACACATTTCTCTTATTATAACATTTGGGAAGTTGGAATTGCTTTTTGCTCTGGTTCTTTCCTCTTGATGTAAAGTATTAAATTTAATTTTGACTTTTACCGTATATCAAACTAGAGAAATTTGAAGCTTTAAAAAGAGATTTGGGACCTTCACAGTGCCACTTAGCCAAGGCAGATAGAGAACTCCCACAGATCTACCTAGTACTCCTAAGTCTGGGCAGGTGGCATGTTGTGCCCAAATTTTGAACTGCAAAATCACCAAGAGACCCATTCTGATGCAAAAGCACAGTCTTTTATTGCTTAATGGGTTAACTCTTTTACCTTGGGCCCTTAGTTTGTTCATCACAGCAGACAGAGTGGGAAGCACCACAAGGGGCTGATAGGCAGGAATTTATTGAGAGGAACAAGGGAAGTGTCTAGGGGTATGCTACAGTCTCAGAATTGTTGCTCTTCCATGCTTGGGCTACCTGTCCTGTGTTGACTGATCAAATTGTTGTTATGGCCTATAGGCCCTACAAGGGAAGTTGCTATGTTCCTCCTGTCCCCGTGAGACATTTTTACCGTAAAGCATCATAAAGCATGACTGGGATGGATTAACCCCCAGAAACAGCTGACCTGACAAGGGTTAGCTCTTGAATCCCAGGCTGATGCCTGGGATTCCATCATGGGATTAATCAACACCCACTGAATGTGGGTATCAGTGAGGAGGCCTAGGTAATCTATTGAGCCTTGGGTAGAAGATCAGTATTTATCCCGGGTATACAAATTGACTTTGGACTCCCATCCAACAATGAGAGATGCTCTGTCACCCTGAGATCTTGGGGGAGAGTCTAGGCCCTGCCTTAGATGAAATGACAGACTATGGACACCACCTTGGAGGGCCTCACCCTCCCTGGGGAAATGAGGGGATATTGGGGTGTTTTGTGGGAGGGCACGGGAGGAGAGGAGGGGAAGGGAGAGGGACCTTGAATTGACACGTGAAGCAACCATGTTTCTAATTTAAATTTAAAGATAAAATAATATTTCATTTTGCCAGGAAAAAAAGAATTTAACTGCAATGAACATTGGGAAAAAAAAGACAATAGAAATTCTGGGCTCTCCACAACTCATGGCCAGGTAGAATATATATCCAAAATATATTTATGGGCCCAACAGTTCAATAAAAAATAGCATGTCCAGAACCTGCCAGCTAACTTCTGATTGGTTGTTTGTCATGTATCTGACCTCCTAGTTAGGCAAGGTTAGGAAGCTCAGCACATTTTGCTGAGTCAGTGACCTTTGTTTTGCTGGGTCTTTTCTGGAGCCTGTCATGGCTGCTAAATCAGAGAGTTACATGAGCATCTGGTCCCTTCAGGAAGACACACACTGCCCACCCATGTGGGTGGAAAATATCCATGGGCCTATCCAGCACTGCTGGGACCAGGCAAGTAGAAACATGACCACCCATATTTGGAGCCATGGCCATGCTGGAGCAGCAGTCTGGGTTGATGTCTATTGCCCATGTACCAGCAAAGGTCAAGGGGAAATCCCTAGTCCAAATGGAAGTGATGCCTGATACTATAAGCATTCCAGTGACCGTTTTTTAAACTGATGTACTTTCTAGCTGTTTTCTAAATGTATGTCTTTACATATACAGGTATATGCAGGTTTTACCCCTCATCAAAGAAACTACTTTTTGCCATATATGGAGACTATTAAAAATCTCACAACTGGTCTAAATACATAGAATAATTGACTCAATGTTGCCCAACCCCAACTGCTATATCTGCAATGAGTCCCTTCAACACAACATTTGGGAAAAACCAAAGAGGAGTGGAATAAAGATCCCTGAGGCACAGGATCCCTTCTCATAGTGTATGTCTCCTAGACATGACAGGGAAATACACCTATTAATTTGCAGTGCCATATTTACACTAAAGAACCAGCAAAATGGCAATGATAAGGAGGGGTAAATTCTACATGATCTGCAGCAAAGCAATGGCTGCCAAAAAAAACCAAATATCATTTCCCTTAGGGGGAATCAAATTTTGTTTTTCCAGTCACAAGTGGTCAGCTCAGAACTAAATGGACTCTGTAGGTTACATATAAATATGATCATATACATGTATTAATGAAAAGTAAAAAAAGATAATAAGTATTTGAAAGGGGGAGAGGCATTGGAAGGGTAAAAGGATGGTGGAGTCATACAGTGTACCTAAGGCACTATGACATCAAAGCACAAGCACTACTCTTATAAAACAATTGCACATGTTAAAATGTTTATGTTCTCTGATATTTTATGCACATTTCAAACCATTTGAAAAGCTAAATTATATTAGAAAACATTTTAAATTATGCCCTAGTTCTATATCTTAGTACTTGTTACTGAGTTTCTAGTGTGGGGTCATGAACTCAGACTCACACATGTTGTAGAATAATCTCTGAATGAGTTCACAGTTGCCTAATACAATAATCTTTGACTAGTTGTTACAAAATCTTTTTTCCCTATCTGTAGCTAGTTTTACAATGAACTTTAGAGTGTTACTGATTTACTATAAGCTGAACAGTTGGCTGCACCTGGAATCCTGACAGCTTCCACAAAGATCTCTTTGCCATGTCCAACTACGTTTGGTTTGAAGGAATACCTCTTCCTAATTTAAATATTAAAAAAAGAAGACTTGAAGAAATTTGTCATAAGTTTGTGATCGGAGATGAAGACATAATCATAGAGACTTATCCTAAATCAGGTAAGGAACATCATTAAAATTGATCCTAAGTTGTATGAGGAAGGTAAAGGCTTTGATCCTCATTAATTTGGGTGATAAATGAAGTGCTCTCTATAGATGATGTTTAAAATGGTTTGTGAGCATGGGGAACTGTGTCTAAGTGCATTTCCACTCAAAATAAGATGCCTGTCTTGGTCTGTGTTGGTGGAGGATAAGTTAAGGAAAATTGCAATGGGAATGGATCTGAAGGCAAACTCTGACATTGTTGTACCTGTGTGTGGAAGAAAGAGGAGAAGAGGGATGATGATAAGAATAAACACAAAATATAGCATCAAGGGAAATGGTGTGGATGAAAGAATATTGGAGGTGGGTGGCGGCGCACACCTTTAATCCCAGCACTCGGGAGGCAGAGGCAGGCAGATCTCTGTGAGTTCGAGGCCAGGCTGGACCGACAGCCTCCAAAACAATACAGAGAAACCCTGTCTCGTAAAAACCAAAAAAAGAACACAGTCAGGTAGAAGAACTACCATGAATCTTGTCCAGGCAGTGGGAAAAGCCTCACAACACAAATACCCAAAAAGAGGCATTATGGGTGTTTTGAGGGAGCTGTTAGATAGGGGACAGAAGCACTGAACATTGGATAAAAATTAGGTTGCTGTGAGCATGAATAATAAAAAAACAGAGACAGATATCGGGGTTCCAGCTGAAAAATGGCAGCCAACCGGTACCTCTTACCTCTACCAAGGCTGGAAAGAATATACCGTCTTCCCTTTGACTGGAAACTGGATCTCTCATCAGACCCTTTGCTTTTTCCTTATATACCTCACTGGTGCTGAGTTTAAAGTTGTGAGCTCTGTTACAGTTTTAGACTGAATCCCTCCAGTGTGGCACAGAGTGGTCTTGGAATCGTAGAGATCCATATACCTCTGTCTGCTGGGTCCTGGGATGAAAGTTGTGTAACACCACCTCATGGCATCTGTGGCTAACTAGTGTAGCTAGATTAACCTTTTGATCCCCAGTCAAGATTTGTTAAGTTATAAACATTTATTGCCACATTGCTGACATCAAAAGTTCAATAACATGGAAAAGCCAAGGGCACTGGAATGTATGAAAAGGATTCAGACATAAACCCAGAAAAAGAAGCTAGAGAAATATCCTTTGACAAATGAGCATATAAAGAGAATTACAAGCATGTGTGGTAACTAGTATCAGCAAGATTTATTTACCTTAAAAAGAAGCAATACTCACACATTCACTGCAGCATAGGTGTATCTCAACAGCATTTATTGAATAAAAGGAGCCAGTCTCAATGACAGATGCCATGACTGCACTGCTGGGAAATATGTGAGATAGTTGAATTCCCTGCACCAGAATGTAGAATAATGATGCCCCAGGTTGGAGGGATGTTCAATATGCAGGTTGAGTTTATTGAGTATAGAATCTCAGTTTTTTTTCAGTTTAAGCATAGGGAATGCAGAGGATGAATATTCTTTGTACTTACGCCATGTGGAGCCTGTGAACACTACATGCTTGTGTACTTAAAAGAAACTGCACTACCAATTGTATGGGCATGTACTCTACTTGAGACTTTTTCACATGTACTGTTGAAGTGAGTTGTCATATCTTTTCCTTCTTGTTCAGGAACTCACTGGCTGATTGAGATTGTCTGTTTGATTCAGACCAAGGGGAATCCAGAATGGGTCCAATCTGTGCCCATCTGGGAGCGCTCACCCTGGATAGAATCTGAAAAAGGATATCAAGCATTAATCAATAAGGAAGGACCTCATGTGATCAGCTCCCACCTTCCCTTCCATATTTTCCCCAAGTCATTCTTCAATTCGAAAGCCAAGGTCAGTGTTCAGTGGTTGAGAAATATTGACCAAATGTTCATTGAATTTATTCTAATATGATGGGCCCTAGAGTACTACCTGAAGTGCACTCTGATTGTGTAGGTTGTGTGTGGGGATGGATCTGGGATTCTTGTGTACTAGGTGATGCTGATGTGTCCCCTCCTCAGAATACATCAGAGTACCAGCATATCAACCATGACATAGTGATCCTGGCCTTATATGTGAGATGAAGTTTAATATCAACAAAAGCATTCAGGAAACTACATACACAAGTCAAGCAGACCATAAACTCTCATCCATAGTGAATACTATGCCTTTTCTGTCATCAAAGTTAATTAGGTAATTTTGGTTTTACATAAACCTCATGCCTATTGGGTGAATCATCCAAGGCATAGTTGCACATAGGATAAGCACACAGAAGGCACCAATGGTTTAGTCATGGACATATCTTAAGGAACATGGCTCATCTGTAACTACTGTGACTTGCTGTGTCTAGCTGTCTATTGAGAAATGTAGCCACAAAAATAAGCCATGTAACTGATCGAGAATCCTCAGAAGAGATCAGAGATAGTCAGATTCTTATCTATCATAGCATCCTGTTAGTAAGAAAGTTCTCTGGAAATTCCTCCACCACAGAATATAAAAATATTTTATGCTTAAACTACAGGGATAAACTTAGTGAAATTATCTCTCTTGAAAATATAACAATCTAGTTGTGTCCTATATTTCTGTTTTATCTGGATTCGGCCAACTCTTGGCTGGAGAAATTGAGCACAAAGCTCATGAATTCTAGAATAATGTCACAAAGAGCATTGGCATAAAATATAGATTTATTTTATTAAAATTATTACTTAATTAATTTTTGTGATTATAATTACACACATAATTTATCCTTCCTCTTCCTCCAAGATTACCCATATGCCAGTTCTTTGTCTCTATCAAATTTATGGTTTCTTCTTTCATTAATTGCTTTTACCTGTACATGTATCTACATATTTTTCAATATTTAAATATAACATGCTTAGTTATATGTATGTTTTTAAGCATGAGCATTTAACATTGTATAACCCATTACTATGCTTTTCACAGGAGATATAAATTCCTCTGACTGTACATTTCTTAGTTGCCTGAATGTCTTGGTGTTCAGCATTTGGCAATGACATACTGGCTTGATGATCTGCACCTTTTTTTGGTTTGCTAAGATTGTATTTTCTGTATTTCTATGTTTCCTAGGTTTTTAATTTAAATTAGAAACAACCTTATTTTCCATATCAACCCCATTTCCCTCTCCCTCACACCCTCCCATGTTCCCCACTAACACCCGCACCCCACTCCTTTTCTGTTCCCAGAGTGGATGAAGCCTTCCAGGGCGGATCAACAAAGTCTGTCACATCATTTTTGTCAGGGCCTAGTCCCTCCCCTATGTACCTAGACTTAGAGAGTATCCCTCTATGACTGTTGTGTTCCAAAATCCATTAGTACACTAGTGATAAATACTTTTCCACTACCAGAGGCCCCATAGAATGTCCGGGCCTCCTAGCTGACACCCACATTGAAAGGACCTGGTTCAGTTCTACGATGTTTTCTCACCTGTAATTCTGGAGGTCATGAGCCCCTGCTTGTTCCAGTGAGCTGTTTTTTATGGGTTTCCTCAGCCTTGTCTTGACACCTTTGCTCATCACTCCTCCCTCTCTACAATTGGATTCCAGGAGTTTGGCTCAGTGCTTAGCTGTGGGTCTCTGCTTCAGCTTCCATCACCTACTGAATAAAGGCTCTAGAATGGCATATAAGGTAGTCATCAATCTAATTATCTGGGAATGACATTTAAGGTCGCCTCTCCACTATTGTTTATGTTGTTAATTGGGGTCATCCTTGCATATCTCTGGACATTTCTCTAGTGTCAGATTTCTCTGTAAACATGTTATTTCTTTATATATAATTTTATCTCTTTCCTTGTTCTCTATTCATTCCCTGACTCAAACTTCCTGCTCCCTCATGTCCTCCTCTCACCTCCATTTCTACCCTTCTCTTTCTACTGACTCCCTCTCCCCTCTCCCCATGCTCCCAATTTTCTCAGGAGATCGTGTTCCTTTACCCTTCTCTGGGGACCATGTATGTCTCTCTTAGGATCTCCCTTGTTTCCTAGCTTTTCTGGTGATGTGGAATAGAAGCTGGTAATCCTTTACTCTATGCCTAAAATCACTGTATGAGTGAGTACATACCATGTTTGTCATTTTGTGAGTAGCATAACTCACTCAGAATGGTTTCTTCTACTTCTAACCATTTGCCTGTGAATTTCAGTATGCCATTGTTTTATTCCCCTGAGTACTACTCCATTGTGAATGGAACAATATTTCTTCATCCGTTCTTCAGTTGAGGGTCATCTACATTGCTGCCAGGTTCTGCCTATTACAAGTAATGCTGCTATGAACATACTTGAACAGATATCCATCTTTGCATGTATGTGCAACCTTTGGGTCAATGAGAAAAAAATGGAATTTCAGGATCTAGCAGTAGACTGATTCCCATTTTCCTGAGGAATCACCATAATTATTTCTAAAGTAGATGTACAAGTTTGCACTCCCACCAGCAGTGGAGGATTGTTCCCATTTCTCCACATTCCTGCCAGTATAAATTGCCATTGGTGTTTTTGATTTTGTCCAGTCAGACAGGTACAATATATTATCTCAGAATTGTTTTGATTTACATTTCCCTTAGGGCTAAGGATGTTGAACACTTCCTTAAGTCCCTTTCAGCCATTGTAGCTTACTCTATTGAGAAATCTCTATTTAGTTCTGTACCCCTCTTTTTAATTGGATTTTTTGATGCCTTGGTGACTAGCTTCATGAACTCATTGTGTATTTTGCTAATATGCCCTCTGTCAGATGTGGAGTTAGTGAATATATTTTCCCATTCAGTTGGCTGCTGTTTTGTCTTGACTATGTCCCTTGCCTTACAGAAGATTCTCAGTTTCAGGAGGTCCCATTTATTAATTGTGGATATCAATGTCTCTGCTACTGGTGTTGTGTTCAGAAAGTGGTCTCTCATACCAATTGGTTCAAGGATAGCTCCCATTTTCTCTTCTAAGAAGTTTAGTGTGTCCTGATTTATATTCAAGTCTTTGATCCATTCAGACTTAAGTTGTGTACATGGCAATAGATATGGATCTATGTGTAATTTTCTACATGGAATCATACAGTTATCACAGCACCATTTGTTGAAGATGCTTTCTTTTTTCCATTGTATAATTTTAGCTTCTTTGTCAAAAATCAAGTGCTCACAGGTGTGTGGGTTAATATCAGGGTTTTCAATTAAATTCCATTAGCTTCCTGTCTATTTTTGTGCAATACCAAGCTCTTTTCAGTACTACAGCTTTATAATAACGCTTAAAGTCAGAGATGGTGTTGCCTCCAGAAGTTTCTTTAGTGTACAATGTTGTTTTAGCTGTCCTGGGTTTATTGTTGTTCAATATAAAGTTGAGAATTATTCTTTCATGGTTTGTGAAGTGTTGTGCTGAGATTTTAGTGGGGATTGCATTGAATGTGTAGAAAGTTTTTGGCAGGATTGCCGTTTTTACAATGTTGATCCTACCTATGCTAGAGCATGGGATATCTTTTCATTTTCTGGTATCTAATTTCTTTCTTTGAAGACTCAAGCTTCTTTTTATACAGGTCTTTTACTTGTTTGCTTAGAGTTACCCTAAGATATTTTATATTAATTTTGGCCATTGTAAAAGGTGATGTTTCATTGATTTCTTTCTCAGTCCATTTATCATGTGTATATAATAGGGATACTAATGTTTTGTAGTTAATCCTGTATCCTGAAAATTTGCTGAAGTTGTTTATCACCTGTAGGAGTTCCCTGGTAGGATTTTTTGGGTCACATATGTAAACTATCATATTGTCTTCAAATAGCAAAAGTATGACTTCTTTTCTAATTTGTATCCTGTTGATCTCCTTTTGTTTTCTTCTTTCTCAAGCTAGAGTTTCAAGTACTATATTGAAGAGATATGGACAGAGTTAACTGCCTGGTCTTGCTTACGATTTTAGAGGAATCAAGTTGAGTTTCTCTCCATTTAGTTTGATCATGGCTGTTGTTTTACTGTATATTGCTTTTATTATGTTTAGGTACGTTCTTGTTTTTCCTGGTCCCTTCAGGACCTTTATCATGAAGGCGTATTGGATTTTGTCAAAGGCTTTCCCAGTATCTGATGAGATGCCTTTGTGTTTTTTTTTATTTTTCTGTTTGTTTATATAGTGGATTGCATTGATGGATTTTCATATGTTGAACCATTCTGGCATCCCTCAGATGAAGTATACTTAATCATGGTGGATGATTTTTCTGATGTGTTCTTGGATTCGACTTGCCAGTGTTTTATTGAGTATTTGCTTCTATGTTCATAAGAGCGCATGGTCTGAAATTATATTTTTACGTATGCCTTTTTGTGCTTTGCATACCAAAGAAATTATAGTCTCATAATAAAGAGTTTGACAATGACCCTAATACTTCTATTGTGTGGAACATATTCAGGAGTATTGGTATTAGCTCTTCTTTGAATTTCAGGTAGAATTTTGCACTGAAATCATCTAGTCCTGGCCTTTATTTGGTTGGGAGACTTTGATGATTGCTTTCAATTCATTAGAGGTTACAGATCTATATAAATTGCTTACCTATTCTTGATTTATATTTGGTAAGTGATATCTATCCAGAAAATTGTCCATTTCTTTTAAATTTTTGAATTTTGTGTAATACAGGGTTTCAAACTATGACCTGAGTAGTCTCTGGATTTCATCAGTATCCATTGTTATGTCCCCCTTTTCATTGATGATTTTCTTAATTTGCATGTTCTCTGTCTGCCTTTTGGTTAGGTTGGATAATGGTTTATCTTGTTGATTTTCTCAAAGAGCCACATCTTTATTTCATTGATTCTTTCTATTGTTTTCTTTGTTTATCCTTTATTGATTTCAGCTCTCAATTTGACTATTTCCTGGCATCTACTCCTCATCAGTGAGTTTGTTTCTTTTTGTTCTAGAGATTTCATGTGTTCTGTTAATTCTTTAGTGTGGCTTTTCTCCAATTTCTTCATGTGGACACTTAGTGATATGAAATTCCTTTTAGCACTGCTTCCAGATTGTCCATAGGTTTCCGTGTGTTGTGCCTTCATTTTCTATGAATTCTAAGAAGTTTTTGATTTCTTTATTGTTTCCTTTACCCAGGAGTGATACAGTAGGGCATTGTTAAATTTACATGAGTTAGTAGGTTTTCTGCAATTTGTGTTGTTATTGAATTTAGTTTTAAGCCATGGTAGAATGGTTTATTTCAATTTTTGGATCTATTGAGATTTGCTTTATAGCTGAGTATGTGATCGATTGTAGAGAAGGTTCCATGTGGCACTGAGGAAAAGGTATATTCTTTTGTGTTTGGATAGGATATTTTATACATTTCTGTTAAACCTAATTGGGTCATAGCTTCTGTTATTTCCTTTGTTTCTTCGTTAAGTTTTTATCTGGTAGTACTGTCCAGTGATGAGAGTGGAGTGTTGAAGTCTCCCACTATAAGTGTGTGGGTTTTAGTTTGTGATTTGAGTTTTAGTAATGTTTCTTGTACAAATGTGGGGGCCTTTGTGTTTGGAGCATAGATGTTCAGAATTGAGACTTCATCTTGATGGATTTTTCCTGTGATGAATATAAAATATTCTTCTTCATCTCTTTTGATTAATTTTAGTGTAAAGTATAATTTGTTAGATATTAGGTTAGCTAAACAAGATTTCTTCTTAGAGTCATACAATTGGTGAATGTTTTCCCAACCTTTAAATCTCAGGCAACATCTGTCTTCATATCCATTCTGTTAGCTTGTGCCTTTATATGAGACTTAAGACCATTGATATAGAGGGATATTGATGACCATTGACTGTTGAACCTGGTTTGTTTTGGATTTGTTTTTGGTCATGGTATTATGAGTGAGATTTCCCCCTATTTCTGGCTTTTGGTAAAAATGAGAATATCTATTGCCTATGTTTTTGTGAGTGCTGTTAACTTCCTTGGGTTGAGGTTTTCCTTCCAGTATTTTCTGTATTGCTGTATTGGTGGGTATGTATTGTTTAAGTCTGCATTTGTCATGGAATAGCATTTTTATTATCTATAGTGATTTGAAGCTTTTCTAGGTATGGCTGGCCTGGCATCCCTGGTCTCTTAGTGTTTGTATAATATCTATCAAGGACCACTGGGTTTCAGGGTTTCCATGGAGAAGTCAGATGTAATTCTAATAGTTCTGTCTTTATATGTTACTTTGCCTTTTCCTTTCTGCTCTTAATATTCTTTCTGTATTCTGTATTCTGTATATTTGGTGATTTTTTATTATGTGGTGAGGGAAATTTTTTGTGGTCTACTCTATTTGGTGTTCTTTAAGCTTCTTGTACTTTCATTGGCATGTCTTTCTTTAGGTTGGGAAAGTTTTCTTCTGTGATTATATTGAATATGTTCTCTGCACCTTTGAGTTGTATTTCTTCACATTCTACTATACTTTGTATTCCTAAGTTTGGCCTTTTCACTGTGCCCCATATTTCCTGGATATTTTGTGTTCATAATGTGTTGGATTTAAGATTTTCTTTCGTCTATGAATCTATTTCTCCCAGTTTACCCTCAATGCCTGAGATTCTCTCTTCAATCTCTTGTATTCTCTGGGTTGGGGTTGTGCTTGCATCTGTAGTTCCTGATCATTTACTCAGGTTTTTCGTGTTAATAGATGCATTCCTTCAGACTGTGTTTTTTTTTCAATTGTCTCTATTTCAGCTTTCAAGCAATCAACTATTTGAATTCTTTCCTTCACTTGTTTACGTGATTTTTCTTGACTTTCTTTGCTTTCTTTAAGATATTTGTGCATTTCTTGAATTTTTTGCTTTTTCTTTTCCTGCATTTCTTGAATCTTTTTTTTTAGTTTTCTTCCATTTCTTTAAAGAATTATCACATTTCCTCTTTGAGTGTCTCTATCATCTTCATAGAGTTGTTTGTAAGGTTGTTCTCTTCTGCTTCATCTGTGTTGGCGTGCTAACGTCTTATTGGTATAGAGTCCCTAGGCTCTTGTGTTGTCATGTTGGTCTTTACATTATTGGATGTGTTCTTATACTGCTGTTTTCCAATTCCTTCTTCCAGTGGGTGCAGGTATTATCTTTCCCTCTCTTTGTCATACAGTTCCAATATATTCTTCTGGTAGGTGCAAGCAGGTTTGATACTCCAATGGCTCTTCATGTGGGTCCAGGCAGGTCTGAGACACTCCTTCTCCTAGTAGACGGAGGAGGTAGGCACTGTGATATCAGCACACTCTGGATTGCTGGGGCATGGCTGAATGCATACAGTCCCCCAGGCAAACAACCCCAAGGAGTGCCAGCAGAATGTGGCCTGGATTCAGGCCCAAGCTCACCTCTTTACGTGGGTTGAGGTAAGACTTGCAATACAATGTTGGCAGACTCTAGATGGCTTGGACTTCCAGAGCAGGTCCAACTGTTCACAGTCCCCAGGCCAGTAGACCCCAAGGAAGGCAAGCAGAATGTAGGCTGGAGACAAGCCCAAGGTCATGTCTTTCAGTGGGTGGATGTGGGACTAACAGTGACTCTGGATGGCTTGGTCTGCCAGGAATGGCCACCTGTGCCCAGTCTCCTGCGCCACCATTCTTTTGGGAGGTACATTTGATAGTTACACTTATATAAAAATTGGTTTGCCATATTGCATTTAGATTAACAAACTACTCATCACCCTGTATAAACTAGATATTCTTTTATAGCGGATGCATGGACTTTTACTCTCTAAGATACAATGTAGAATCAATCTTGGATTTTTGTTATATCTGTTTTGCTTTTCCAGTGTTAGTGATCTCAATATTTTTGCTGTTCCATGTTTGTAAACCAAATAAAATTGTACAAAAAGTTTCTGACTATACATATTTCATACTCACATATACATTTTGTTCAAATGAAAATAATAAATGTTGTTAGATACCTCATGGATATTTGATTGACATTTAATATAACTTGTGCTAGTCAAAATATTTGAAATCACCATATTGACCTTAATATACATGTTTTTTTCATTTAAGATGATATATGCCATCAGAAATCCCAGAGATATTCTTGTGTCTGGTTATTTTTACTGGAGTAAGACAAAATTTTCCAAGAATCCAGATTCACTGGCAACTTATTTTGAATGGTTCCTCAACGGATATGGTGAGTGTCCTGTCTAATATAGGTGTTCTGGGAGGCTCAGAGACATTTCTAAGTAAGTAAGATATAGCTTAGGCTACTCTTCAACTCTCTATATAGTCAGGGATGACCTTGAAGCTCATTTTCATCTGAACCTCCCTCTTGAGTTCTTGGACTACAAGTACATACTATCTTGTCTTTTTAGCTTAATATTGTTACTCAAACTCAAAATATCAATAATGTTATCTAACTTGACTATACTCCTAGACTTTAGTGTATTCTGCAATCTTCACTTGATTCCCTATCATCTCTCTACTTCCAACCAGTCTGTGACTCCAAGGCTCATCACCATTTTTAATGTAATATTGAAGTCATCCTGTTCTCACACACTATTTTATAACAGGGTACACCCACAGCTTAAATCATGACACATCTTCCTGGCAACAATGTAGTACCTGGTCTTCCCAGTATTCATTTATGTGTATTAAACGAGAAATTCTCTAAATAGACACTAAAATTTGTACACTTGTTTCCCACATTTTGACACTGTTTCAGAATTTATGAGGCACAACCCTGTATGAAGAAGTATATCTTTGAGGGGTTTTTAATTATGTTTATGCATTTATTTTATACACTGACCACAGTTTCCCCTCCCTTCTTTCACCCCATTACATCCTCCCACCTGCCTCTCATCTCCACTCCCAATTCACTCATCTGTTTCTGTTCATAAAGGGGCATGCCTCAGCATAGGTGTCAACCAAGCAAGGCATATCAAGTTCAGGTAGGACCAACCTCCTCTGCTTGTATTAAAGTTGGTCAATGTAACCCATTACGGGTAATAAGTTCTGAAAAGTCAATCAAAGCAATACAGTCAGGCCCTGTTACCATGACTAGGAGTCCCATTAGTAGAACAAGCTACACAGCATTCACACATATGTACAGACCCTCAGTCAGTTTCATGCAGACTTCCTAGCTGTCAGTCCAGAGGCTTTGATCTCATACCAGCCCATGTAAGTAGTTTCTGTGGGTTCTTGTGAAATGACCTACACATGTGGATCATCCAACCTTTAATCTCTCTCATCAGTATTTGCCCTTTCCTTAGGCCCAGTCTTGACTGTGGACCTCTGTATCTTTTTCTGTCAGTCACTGGATAAAGGCTTTCTGATGACGATGTATGTATTTCCCACCTGACTACAAGAGATGGCCAGTTAAGCCTACTTATCCACTATTGATAACAGTCTTAGTTTCCATTATCCTTTTACATTCATGGGAGTTTCCCTTCCACCACATTTCCACCTGACCCCAAATTGCCACCTATCACGATATTTCATTCACTCCTCTGCCCCTCCATCCATGTTCCCAACCTAATCTGTCTTTTCGCGTCAGCACCAGCTCCCAGTCAACTCAAGTGATCTGTTCCATTTTCCTTTCCCAGGCATAACCATGGATTTCTGTACTCTGGGCACTCTGATATCAATTTTCTCACAGGATATTGATTATAGCATGTTATACTTTAATGTACATCTAGTATTCACTTGTGAGTGAGTACATAACATGTTTGTCTTTCTGTGTCTAGGTTACCTCACTCAGGATATTTTTTTATAGTTCTACCCATTTAAATTTCCTTATGTCAGTTTTTAACAGTTGAGTAATACTCCATTATGTAAATGTATCTCCTTTTCTTTATCCATTGTTGAGGGACCCATCAGTTGTTTGCATATTCTGGCTATTATGAAAAGCACTGCTATGAACGTAGTTCAACAATTATCCTTTTCAAAAGATTCAACATCCTTTGGGTATATGTCCAAGAATTGTATAGCTGGGTTATGCAGCAGATTGGTTCTCAGTTGCAAGTGGAGTTCTTAATTGATCTAAGTAATAAAAAATATGCGTCTCATAAAGAGGAAAATGTTGAGAGATTAGAGAGAAGGAGCAAACCAACACCACCCATTACCTCCATTAGCATCTCAGCAGACAAGAGAATGAGGTCCTGTTCTTCTCTGTTTATATCCTGTTTCTGCTGGGTAGCTCACATCCTGTCTGTCTGTACAGACCTCCAAACCTCTATGGTTAGCTAGTAACATGCTCAATTCTCTGACAGTCATAACAGACTTTATTTGTACAATCAATGTATCACCACACTCAGTTTTCTGAGAAAACACCATGTTGCTTTCCAAAGTGGCTCTACAAGTTTCCACTACCACCACCAATGGAGGAATGTTCCCCTATATCCACATCAAAAACATAAATTACTAAGCCACTTCCAGTTTGTTCTCTGCTTCCTGCTTAAAGTTAAAGAAATGAACTCTAAGATTTCTGCTGGGGTGCCCTGCCTGGCACTTGTTGCCTTTGCCTCCTTTCCCCTCATTTATTCTCATTCCTCTAGAACAATAAGCTATAATTAAACTATATCTTGATACTTTAAGCTGCCTTTGCTCATGATGTTTTATCTCAGCCTCAGAAAAATAACAAATGTAATTTTCTTCCTACCACACCTCTCATTTATGTATTTTTTTTGGTCTTTTTTCCCATTGGCTTCTTGTATATTAGCCTGACTGTCTGCCATTTTAAGATGCATCTGTCCAAACATAGTAAGTCTTATTTTGTTCATTGTCAAATGTATTTCCATGGGCAGAGGTTAGTTTATGTTTTCTTGAGATATAATAATTATATATAATAGAAGTTTCATTCAGACATTTTCATACATATGTACAAGTTTTTTAAATCGCATTAATGGCCCAATAAATCTCTTGCCTGGTTGTCATTCTTGCTTTTCCTCTTCCCAACTACTTTTATGTTATTCTTCCATATCCCATTTCTTCATGTGTGGTTGTGAACCCATAAGTTTCATTGAGATTGCTTTCTGGAGGATAGGAAAAGAGTCGTTTATCAGAACATGGGTGCCTTACTAGTAGAAACTCTACTGAAAAATAATCTATTCCTGCACAAGCAACCACTAACTACCTATAGACTCTAGAAGGAGGGTTCTCATGAGCCTTGCAGACTAACTACTTTAACTGCTTATAAAGCCACAGGAATGGTGTGGTTGCACATAAGTCTTTCCTATATGCTTGACAGAGTATTTTAGGGCACACTCTTGTGTAGGTCTTGTACACAACTACTATGAGTTAAAGAATGTTATGTCCATACAATGTCTAGGAGACAATATGCTGTGTCATTCTAACCCATCTTTAGGCATTTACATTTCTGTACCTACTTCCTCTGTGTTTTTATGACTCTAAAGTAATATAGATGTCTTATTTATGGTGAGCACTGACAAGGCACTTATTGTTAGCATTTTGGACAATTTTAAGTATACAAAAATGCCTCTTCTCACTATAAGAAGAATTTTCTTTGACCAGGATATCAGTAGTGATATAAAAGGATAAAATTAGCTACTAAGGAGATAATATGATAGGCACATCAATTTTCTTTAGCTGAAAAACAATGACATTTTCAACACTATGGTCTATTCACCCCCAGGATGTGGAGTTGACCATGTTGACTGGATCAACTTTGAACTCTTCTTAATCAGAAAATGATTAATTACCCTGATACAACAATTTCTATTACTTCACTGTAATGTAAGCATATGTAAAGTTTGGATCAGAGTATTCACAGCTGTGTAATACTGTTGATGACAATCTCCCATTATCAGACTGCCTAACACTTTCTGGTACTATGTGGGTTACTCAGAAGAAAAGTATATTTCATCCCAGTGCCAGGTTTTTTCATTATGTATTGTAATAATTTTATGAAGATGTCTCTAGAAATAGGGTCATACCAACTAGTTTTTGGGAGACTGACAACACTGGAAATTGCCTGTATTATTTGGTTCCTCGTGCCATTTCTTGGCAACAACTCCTAAGGAGATATTTCAATACTATCAGTGAAGTTTTTATTCAATATCCTGTGATTTCTGGGAGCAGTATTGTAGTCTGACATAATCTTTTCAATATTTTTAATGAGCTTAAAACTAATTACTTTCCATAGTAATTTTCATATATTCTTTGTTTTAGTTAATTTTATTACTTATCCTCTGATCCCACATTCACATTAACCCATTCAGTCTTCTATTCCCTGCTCCTTCACATTCACAATATAGATCTTCTACAGTCCTTACCTGTGAGAAGTGGGCCAGTGATGGGATAGGGAGGAGGGAGGGAGAAGGGGAGGACCTATGAGGAGGAGATGAATGATGGGAGGGGTGAGAGGGAGAACTGCAGTTGGATTGTAAAATGAAATGAAAAAATACAAAGTTAAAAAAGCAAGTAATTAGCTGTGATTCCATCTCAAAATGGACTTCCTACGTTTTCCCCTTCCAGTTTCATAGATTTTTGGTCTTCTATTGAGGTCTTGATGAATCTGGAATTAGTATGTATGTCAGGACCTTCTCTCTCTCTCTCTCTCTCTCTCTCTCTCTCTCTCTCTCTCTCAATTGCTCGCTCGCTCATGAGTGTGTGTGTGTGTGTGTGTGTGTGTATGTTATGAGGGATTAAGATCTAAATTAATTTTACTAACCATAGTTACCCAGTTTGCAACTCACCATTTTCTGAAAATCTTGTCTTACTTCAAATATATAATTTTGCCATTTTGTAAAAAATCAGATGCCTGCAGTTACACAAACTTATGTCTTGGTTTTTCTATTCCATGAATCTACAACTGTTTTGTATCAGTATAGTGCTGGGTTTTGTTACCATATATTTTAGTATAACTTGAAATAAGGTACTTTTTTCAAAAATTGATTTGATTATCTGGGATGTATTCTTTCATTAGAATTTATTATTGAAGTTGTTCTTTGGAAATTTCATACCTTGTATAAATTACATTCTGATTGTTGAAACACTTTACCCTATCTAATGACCTCTCATCTTTTTTTAACTCCCATGACCTACAATTATCTTTTAAAACTTTATGTATGTTTGTGACCCATTTAATTGAATCAAGTAGGATCACCTGTGGGATTGTGTGCTTTGTATCTACCCACTGAAACCTAATTGGCACTTTCAGGGAGTAGTAGATTC